GCATACCCATTCAAATAGGCGGACATTCAAAGGATGAGAAACACAGCATCCTTGCGATAGCACAATGGTTTTGATGGAACAACTGGATCTTTTTCGTTACGGTACTAGCATAGCAATTCTATGATTAGAATTCGTCAGTAGACCAGAAGCACCTCCGGCAACGGGGGACCATATACGGTTAGCCTAACAAATGCGATTTCTAACGGGATTCAGTGTATCCCACCGGTTTCCAACTGAAGTCATTTTATTTCTCACCAGTGCGGTTTAATCCACTGTGCCTCTATATCCTGCAGAGTCAAGGCCGTTAAACAATCTACTGGATCACCTTTTACAGGGCTGTCTAAAGTTGGTAACTTGTCATCAATTCCGTCTTTGTTGCATCCTATTCATGAATACGCATTGATCAAATCCAAAGCATACCGATTATTAATCTACAATTGCAGTTCATCGTCATAAGAGCACAAGTCGTTCGATCAGTGTTGTTAAAATGCTAAACAATTTCTTTCAAATCATATAACCGATTGTTGTTGACAAAAATACTTGTTAAGCTTGACCCCAACTGTGACAATTAGCTCCTATAAACTTATTATGCAATGTTATACCGTTCACACACATACGTACACATACACATATACTCTGTTTTGTTCTCGTCATAATTGTGATCAGCCAAAGATTTGCAGAAGTTCGCTGCTGTTCTACGTGAAGGAGATAATTGAAATTAATTGATGCTAGGCTCATTATTCATGAAGATTGTTGGCCCTTAATCACATACAGATAAATCACTAGAGGGAACATCAGTTTACTTTACGGAAGAATCAATCAGTAGGGTCTGACAGGTAACCAGTTGGTGAAGTGTGTCTCCGGAGTACCGCGGTGGTAGCTGATACACCTAAACCATGCTAGCGAGCCTTGTTGACGAAACCTAATAACTACATCTATTCTCTCATTTCCCTACAGGCCTTTTGGGAACGAGCAAGTTTGCTAGAAAGTGGGGGTTTTCAAATTTCGATATGATCACTGTAGAAGTTTTCCTAAAGCGCTTATGTCTATCCACAATCATGTTGTTGTAAATAAGCATCATATTACCGTGTCTGTGTTAACATTGATAGGAGGCGCTGTAGGTTGGCAATTGGGTTTTCGGCCCACATTTGTGTTCGTAAGCCGAAAATGGCATTAAGAAGAACAATCGACTACGAAACGGGATGATGAAGCGATCTTATGACATGAGTGATCTTTTTAGCTCACGTAAAATAAAACGATCGACAGGTGAAATGACCTACGCGGGAGTTGAATTATTAACATTAAGAAAGTCAACTATTCAGAACAAACGTTTTTCATGCCTTTGTGATGATGTGATGACAACATCATTTGCTTGATACATTGTTCATGGGTTGACGTGCATTAGAAACCATTTTTAGTTCTGTGGTCGATCTTTGAGTACCAGAAAAAAGCTCATTAGATTGGGTGAAATTGAAATATGGTGCTGTTTGCCAGACTAAAGTACATCTTACTTTGATTACTCGAATAATGAGTTTATCAAACATGTTTCCCTTCAGTTGTCGATACTTCACAAATCTGAGTATTGATTACTGGGTGTTGGTCTCACTATGACTGATTACCGACTGTGCTGGCCTTTCAGTGTACGGCTCAGAGTCAAGTGTATCGAGTTTCAGTCCGAACATTCACCGTTTAATTTGTAGTAGAGACATTTAGTATGGATATCAAGAAAGACAAAGATAAATTGTTATTCCATTTTTTAGTTGTACTACCGCTTTTACCGCAGGCCATTTATTCAAGTTCAAGCCAACCAACAAATCAGAGCTCTGTAGTCGACCAAACGCTACCCAGGCGGCCACCGAGCAACATGGCTACACAATTAAGTCTTCCTTAGAAGTTCATTTAACGCATTCTGGTAGAGTTTATGGATAGCCTATCGCGGCAATCAGCCCACATACTACCACATCAATCCCATATGCTTTTGTGGGTCGGATGGGAAATCCAAATGTGAAAAGCTCAGTGCTATTATTGAAGCCTGAAACCTCATCTGGCAAAGCGTGCGCTGTACGAAAGACTAGACTTTATTCCTCCATGAGTTCACATCTTACTGAGATTATTGAACGTTTCCCAGTTCAAACATAGGACTCAAATCTGCCAAACAACATCAGAAAAGCAATATGTGAAGACCACTTGCACCTGAATTGAGTATCATGAGCTGTGCTGTTAAGCACACTTCATGAACAGTAACGAGAGGTAAAGATAAAGGTCGCCCAGTTCCACAGACGATTTGTTTGGAGTCGTTCATGTATGCGATATTGAAAACCTAATTCTCAACATCCATTGGGTATGCACACAGTCCTTTAACCTATTTACAAATTGATGAACAACATTCTTTCATTGTTGGTGGACCTTTCGATAAACATTATACTNTTATACTGTCATTTGTTTACTAAAAATATCATACCACTAGTTATTTCGCCTCAGGCATTCCCGATTCGTATTATGACAGGTGACAAGAATCATTTTTCAGAACTCATGGATAATTTTTGTCATGATAACTTCAGATCATCCTCTGCATTTGGTGTGACCATGACTGGATAGTGATGAATTTGAAACCGAGTGGAACGGACTGAGTATATCAGTAACTTCTCTCAAATTAAGTTGTTCATTTATGGAATCAAACCGTTCCCTCTCCCGACTAGTAAGCCTGGCGTTATTCGTCCCTTTGGATGTCCTATCCATTTTATGTTTAACAGAACTATACTTGTCAAGCATAGTATCATTAAGGGCAGAACGCAACTCATTGTAATGACTGATTTGGAATTTTCCGAGATACATCAAACGATTGAATAAAGTGCATCTCTGGCATTCATTTTCAAAGTTTTTTTGACGGTATCAGAACGTTGGTTTTGAATGGCAAAACGATTTCTTGATCCCGAGAACCCCTGCCACCCGTGTTTCAATTATGTTCAACTCGTTATGAGAAGTGGAAAATTTGACCTGCGTGATTCCATAAGGCCGCGATGCTGTGGAGCTGGAGTAGAGTTGGGTGGTTATTGTTCAGTGGAATTTCACATCTGTTTAAAAGTTCATCCATTTCAATACGTAAAGGTTTATCTCATGCTTTCCAACGATTGTTATACAAAATCGATCAAATAACTGTTATTTAAGGACTTCTGAAATGTACATTTCTAAATCATGTATGCAAATTGTCCCTGTGAGACTCGACAACCAGGAAATTTGCCATGGATTATCTGAGAGAAAACAAGTTATAACGGGTGGAATACATGAGACTGATTAAAGAGCGCTGTTCAAAATTGGATAATGTCTCACAGAAACCTTTTAGACAACCAGCAGAATGAGTGAACTCCATATTTCTGAGGATCTATTTTTGAATGATGATAAACACGATTCCAGATCGTGTGACTTCGTGAGTCGAAACATGCGTCAGGCCTAATTGAGCGTTATTTTTCGAGTTATCAAATTCTGAATTAGCCTAACTAAGCCATAGACGTTTACATTAGCCCCGCAAGGTATTTAAGGTAACGCCCTCTTATTGGCGCACTCTCTGAAAATACTGGATTTCGAGTGTGTGTGCAACACGTAGGTGATCTCTTTAGCTCCCAACTTCACGAAAGGCAGCACATATGAAGAGACGATTAAATACGCTCTTCTGGCACGTGCAAGCAAGTGCAAAACGTATAGATCATTTTGTTTGCGCGCGTTTATGAACGTTAACCACTTCCAATCACAGATGAACGGAAATGAAGCCACAATGTCCGCGCACATCGATGTATTGATGTCCATCAGATAAGTGGTTACGGTTTTGAAAGAAGAGCTAGTTTTTATTTCGCAAGCAATTTATGCTTTAACATTGCATCCTCTAACGGTAGTTTTAAACTTTCACATTCCAACGATCTACATTAGCAGTAAACAACATGAAGTTTCTCTCCCGTGGGTAACAATTCCAAACCCAGTGGAAAGCCATCTTTAAATAGGGTTTTTAAATCCACACAGAAAATTTCACATCGTCTTCGAGCGATGCACTTTGTAAAATGATGTCCAACTTATTACATCGTACATTTCTATGCCTCTCGTACACAAGTTAAATGGGAATGACAGCCATTCAGGGACCCCATGAGGCCCATCAACCAAGAAATCGTTCAGATACCCTGCGGCGAATATTTAATAAATCTGAAGCAGTTATAAAGTCATTTTTGACCGTACGCCGTACTTTCGGATATCACAATTTCTCTACAGTGTGAATGTCCCTTTGTCCCTTTGTTCGATGTGTGTTCGATGATGTAAACGATCAGTAGGCTCATTGAAATTGGAAATTGTTGTTACTGTAGATTTCGTTGTGTACCGAATACATTCTTAAATCAGTGGGCTGAAGTGAGGAAGCTATTGAATAGTGCAAAAGCAGATCGAACAATTAAGAACAGTTATACAAAGAGCATATAAAGTGGTTCTGCTCTTTTTGTCGATCTGCTGTTTGATCACTTTAGAGAATCGGTGCCCCCTGTTTATAAGATTTGAGACCCACGAAAGCTCCGAATTCTGCAGGACGATATGAGTTTCGACTATTCAGAAATAATTTGGTTAAAATTTCATACATTTGTTCGATTGAAAGACTGGTGAAAGAAATATATACACACACACACAACCTTCTCTCTTCGTGCACATATCCACAATCCATCTGTTATGTGGTAATTGCCTCCACATTGTATCCACATACGGCGGGGTGAATTATAACCCGGAATCCATGCAATGTGCGTAGTTTTCTCTGTTTAAATGCCAATACTTCAATTCTACCTACACGATTTGTAAAGTTGTTGGAACAATAGAGGAAGACAGTAAGCGGAAAAGAAATCCTAATTTCACGGATTTTGCACGATTCTGCATGCTGCGAAGTAGTACTGTATCACTAAATCATTTGGTCTATATATACTTTCTTTACTTACAGTCTTATTACAAAATGTACACATAGAAACTGACTTATCCTACCTGTTTAACAATGAAATAAATAATATTATTGACACAATCATAAATGCACACACATAATAAATGATGAAAAATTCACGCCCAGTTAAAAACAGGTGAAACCGTATCACATTATTTTCTCGGATTTTTAGTCTTTTCAAACCTTTAACCAATAGAATGAAGGTTGTACGATATGCTACGTTTTTTCGGACAATACTTACTCGTTTCTTGGAGGCACATCGTTTCTCGTCCCGTTGCACATTTCCTTCCCCGGGGGCGGGAGAGCCCCACACACGACACACAATTGCCGTATAGGTCCCAGTGATCACAACCAAAGGAATAACATACTGGAACAGCAGGGACGTTAGATTATACGCAGTTTCAATCGGGGAACTTGTATAGATAGGAGTTGTGGAATCCCCAGTTTCATTGATCGAGTTAGCATCCTTCGGGTACAGACTAGTGTCCACAGTGCTGTTCAGCTCACTTCCGTTTGTGAGAATTGTGGATCCCGGCCAAACTTCNCCAAACCATCCTCAGAGTTGACCAACTGACATACAATCAGGCTGGGAATCGGGATCGCCATTGCGCACATCCATATGCCGAACACAATCAACCGTGCCCCCGTCGCGGACAATTTGCGACGTCTCCAAATTGGACACTGAATTGCTGCAAGACGATCCATGGATAGTACCACATGGGTGAACGCACATAGAAACACAACGACGCCTTGCACGTAATTGACAAAACGACACAGAAATGGTCCAAAAGGCCAGTAGATGAGTAGCACATCGGCGACCAGGGTAAATGGTGCACAGAGTAGAATATGGAGTAGATCGGCGACACTCAAATTCAACAAAAAGATACACGTGACAGAATGCCGTGTTAGTGGATTTTTGCGAGAATGTGGACTGGCTGTGACTGCCACTGCTGCTGCTGCCGCTGCAGTGGTGGTGGACAATGTCCCGTTGTTACGGTATTTGGACCTGGGCTTACCTCCGTTCAGCAGGTAGATCACTGCCAAGTTGCCGAATGTGGCCACAATCACGAGGATACTGACCATTATGGTGATGATAATTTGTCCTGCTAGTGACAATTCTGGGGGATGTAAACCCATGACTTGATGGGCCAAGTGAGGATGTGAATGATCAGTTCAAACTATGAGATAGCGTAAGAAAATACTGATTTTGGGGAATGCCGGTGCATTGTGAGTGTATTACTGTCAGGAATGATCAAACAACGTTTTGTTTGTTAACGTACAAAATAAAAGAGAGCCAATATCCCGCCAATCACGTGACGGGGCTGATTGACCAATCAACGGCTAGCTGTGCATACAGTTGACCCAGTTTCTCAATAACGTCCGTAACTTCCGAGAAAGGTGTTGCTTGACTATTCATACTTGTAGTATGCTTACCATGGTTTCTACATTTTATATTTGTCTCAAATCAGCTTTTCTCATCTAAATGTGGTGTATGATGTTGCGTTTAATGAACAAGCAGTCAAACACTCGCTGATGCTTATTCACCCATCGCCCCTATGCGAATGATGAATTAAAAGTGCGACTAAGCTTTAAATCTAAGTTTGTTGTGTTTGATATATTTCCAAATTTTGGGAAGATTTCATCTGCCCCAGTACCGCTGCTTTACGTTCATCAGTATTTATTTGGTAAAACCTATAAATTATTTCACTCCTACATCATACTCGATTTGGGGACAGTCTCTGAAACGTGCTAACAATCCATTATGAGTTAATTGTAGTTACTCAGCAGATTGCAAAAGCTTCTCCCAGAGTGCTAAGCCGGGGACTGTAACGGCCGGCTGTTTGTTTAGTTTTCACCGCGTACTGGATAGGTGGTACTACACTCATCCCAGGAAGATGTTTGCAAATTATTTATCTTCCTGTCATCGCTGTCTTGTATTCAAAAGATTATGTCGCAGCTCGATTTCTAGCTTGCGTCACACATTTTTAAAAAAGATACTGACTCACTATTGTTCAGTAGAGCTAAGATTGGCTTTCGACTCGGGTTCAGGTACATGGCGTGTGACATGTGACAAGGAATGGCTGGTTGAGCTAGACCGTGTCAAATTCAGAAATACATTTCCGCATCATATGTAATTTTCAACCTGAGAATCCATCCTGCTGCGATAAGTGATTACAATCCTGTGTGATCTTGGCTCAGAGTGTTTTATCAACGGTGATTCTCCCCCCTTGAGAAAAAGGATTTGTCAAAGTATCACACTTCACAGTTTGTTCAGGCTTTTCTAATGTGTCCTCTGATGGGTGATAAAAATGTATTCTTTTGCAATAGGCGGTGCGAATTGGTATCCATTGAAATTTGATAAGCTGTTCAGAGCTGCAAATCATAATTCAAAACTAATAGGTAATGGTGCGAACTATTCAGAATAATTGTATACACATAAGGTCACGCATGTTCACCGTGTTCAGTCACAAACTGTGGTCAGTCATGATTTGCTTTTTAAGCCCTTGGGCAATTTAGTCAGGTTGTGCAGTCAGCATGTCAACGCATGCAGGCACACGCGCAGTTTGTGCCTTCACAAGTGATGGCATTATTTATACAGATCGTTCACTCTTTTATCACGAAACAGCTTTCCTTCAACAAATGTTCAGTATACAGCTAAAGCTTCGGTTGAGATTCAGGAAATATTTCTGTACATTCAGTGTGTACCCAACTGAAGGGCTTTGATGTGGAGCATTTTTGACTGTGCAAACTTCACTATACTCTAAGCTAACCTGTTACATTTCCGTTGCATCTAGGCCACCTTCGGGGGTTTCGAATTCCTTGAGGTGTCATTTTCAACCAGTAAACGGGATACAACCGATTTCCCGATTTGTTCATGCTTCGAAGTTACATTGTTTTTCAAGTGGTTTCCTATACATGATACAAGCTTGAAAAATTCTGAAATCCTCCGATTTATGGTCTCTTAATTCTTCAAACCTGACGATTCCAGTAGCACAAATTTGAGTCATTTACCGCAGACTGCCAGAAACGTGCAAACCGGGCCGTGTTAAATCTTTCGCACTCGAGAGAAGCTTCTTTATCGTGAGAAACCATATGGGTGCCGCCGATGTTATCAGTATGCATTTAACCACGTACGAGTAAGTTAATTACATTCAATAGCTACTAGATTTAGTATATCGTCTTTGGAGTTCCTACGCGAAAGTTCACGGATCGAGTTCTGACGGGAAGTGAAACGTGTGAGCCGGACCCTGCCTGCTTGCCTGCCTGCCTACCTTCCTACATACTGATCGTTCCTGCTTGTTCCACAGTTTATGTACCGCCTACATATTTGCTGTTTAGAATAAACTTACTGCTTCATTCATTGTGTTCTCATTTGTCTATTTGATCTGGTGCACAACAGAACCTTTTCCAAAAAGGAAATTCAATGACAGCAGAACATTCTCATACATTTTGATTTGATTCGCTTACAGTGGTGATATCACTAATGTTTGTGCGTTTAGGTTAACCGACTGTGGGTTGAGTGAGGAATTGTGAATCCTGGCTGAAGCTCGCTCTGAATTCGAATTCGAGATAATTCCACGTGAAGACGTTTTGACGGCATTGCGGTCACGAATAATGATAAGCGACAGGATCGGTGTAATGGAAAATATTTGAGGATAAGAAAATGGGTGAAAGAGTGAATTTGTTCCTGAGGGGGGTGGGAGGGGGTGGAGCGGGAGCGGGGGGGGGGGNGGGGGCGGATGGGCAGAAGCAAACATATTGGATAGAATTATAACCTCTGACAACAGCAGTGTAACAGCCGAGAAGAAGAAGAAGAAGACGTGCTAATTCGGGGACAACAGATGGAATATGTTCAAGATCGGGCGATCTGTGCATGTCTAGCGACTTCATATTTTAGAAATACTTTCCGGTGTAATAAGAGAAAAATGCAAAAGGTCGATTGACGGAGAAATTTAGGGCAAATAATTCAGACTTGCGGGGAATATCTTGGCCTCTTGGTATTCTGTTCTAGTTAACTTAGACTGAAACGGAGTCAAAACGTTCACTTACACTTTTCGACATTTTATTGTGAGAGATTGGACCAAAAGAATTTGTCATAGATATGTTTATTGGTTAGGAGTGGGAGGAGGTGGCAAACAAAGTGTGTAGAAGTGTAGAACTATGAGAGACCAAGTCATCGCGCAAGTGATGTAGATACACTCCTAATAGCTCGTGGATAAAAATATGATGCAAAGTGCACACCAACTGCATTCGAATTTTCATAACATTTTTCTAAGTCAGTAATTTGCATAGATTTCAGAATTCACGTGTTCCGTCTTTTGAAATACCTAGTACCACGTTTTGAAAAAAAATGAAATGGGGATATAGAAAGATATTCGGCGTTTCACTTCGATGATTCAAATAGTGTACGAGTTGGATTTGTTCCGGTGGATCCATGGTTGCGGAGAGTATGCATTGTTTAATATTTCAGTACGTTTATGTTAGCGATGTCAGAAATAAATAGCTGGGATTACATTGGAATCGTTATCCTATTATATATAAATTGTTTGAGAAGTATTTGATTTATGATACACTAAGCCAATCTCTTTTTCAGCAGAGAGGATGCTTCGTCAAGTGGGTAATCGTTATTCACTGGTAACTGAAATGTTAATTCACAACCATTTCGATTGGGATTGGAGGTGTGAATTGTAAGAAACTGGTACTTGACCACGCCATTTTCGTTACAACTGGGGTTTCCACATTTCTGTTGCACCGAACTCCCGCATCAACTTTCTGCATCAGTTGCTGTTGTTACTGGTTGCTTATTTTAGGCACGTTTCAGTTAATCCCTTTCGGAAATTCTCGTTAAAGATATTAATAACGTATCTCCAGACAAGTTCCCAAAAGTTACGAAAAATCAAGGTAAAAGAATTGGAAAAAGCATTAGGCTGGAAATTGACACCAATGAGGAAAATGTTGTCGTTATTTATTTTTCAATCATTGTGTCGTCGAAAGTGTGTTCAGTTCTCTCAAAGATGTAAAACTTCATGCTTACGGTTAACAATGATGAATGTTCAGATTGCTTGTTTGTGCAACTTTAAAAAAGTGTTTACTACAATAATCGCTCGATGACTGAGTGGCCTGACAGGCTCTCGGAACAAACGCAGTGGGCTCATCTTTATTTTATAAAATATGTTCATTGACGAAGTTNGGTCCCATTTTACCAACAGTTTTTGTTTCTGGTCAGAAATTAAAAAAATTGACATCCATGCTATCGCTTTTGTGCTGCAACCGAAGGTTTTAGAACCCCGGTGCTCAGAAAACCTTCACCATTTCCACAAAATTCTGCAAAGCCATTGATCTTTCCTTTGGGATTGTTTGTAGGCCTACCAGGTATGCTAATCAAGCGACTGATCACCCGTTTCCTCATTTTACATCATTGAAGAAATCCTCAGTCAAACTACTTGCGATGGTTTATTTCAGTTGAATTCCAATGGTTTGTGATTTATAACCACAAACAATTTTCAAAGTATTCAAGGGTACTTGTCCTCAATTAACGATCTATTAAAGGGGAACGTATTAATGAATAAAACAAAAAATCATTCATTATTGTATATTTTATACACTTGATTTTCATGTCCCCTGTTGTGTTTAGGGATTTCACTTCGAAGTGACACACATACTTCACAGTATTTCTCTTGACATCAAAGCGTTTTACATGCAACGCAGATTCCCAATTAACACCCAACAGAGACACCGTTTTGGCTAGCAGTTCACGTCCCGTACAGCCGCATCTTTCATCTTAGAATGGATTAACCCGTTGATGTACACAAAGGCATCTTTTTGCAACTCCTTTTTGTGCCTCGTTTATCACGCCTGTCAGTTTACTGAAACGGATTACCCGAACAAAAACAACAACAACAACAAGAATTCAAGCAGTTTGGCCTGACCAAACGTTCGTTTGTGTGATAAGAATGGCTCCCGCTAATCCATACTTTGCATAGTATTGTACATGTATATGTACCCATTTAACCCAGATTTAGCACAAATGTTACCGCGGCAACCTTTTAACCGAAATTCCGTTTTCAACAGATGACAGAAACGCATCATTGATCGGATTTGGATGCAGATAGATCGGCAGAATTAGGAGTAATTAGAAGAATCTTTTGGCTCATATATATGGTTGCCATGTTACCTGTGCTCGTGGTGCCCATTCGGTAATGAAGAAGGTAAAAATGAAAACCAAATAATATATCTGCTCAGAATATCCTCTGCGATTACTGTCAATTTTTGAAAACCATTCGGCATACCAACATGAGAGAAAATGTTCCAGTTAGATACTATATGTCTGGAAACTGAAACAATGAAATGTATTTATGAAGTAATTGAAATGAATGTTGATTGAAACAACCGAGTAACCAATATGCAGAATACATTAGCGATGACTAGACCAAAAGG